GTGTGTGTGTGTGTGTGTGTGTTTGTACATTTTGCTATTTACCCAGTGCCAAGTTCAGCAGTAAGATAAAGTATGTGAACAGTTTGGACGAGCTTCAGGAACTCATCCCCATGGACTGCATCCAGATCCCAGAGTGCATCATTAGGTGAGTCCACGCCCGCCTCTTCCGAGCCCGAGCTGTCGTTTTAAACACCTTTTATATTCATCTTGTCATCTGAACTCTCACCTCTAGACTCGACAAGGAACTGAAGGAAGCCGCGGAGAACTCAAAGTAAGCACCGACTCTCCTGCCTCTCGTTACCGCCCTCTGCGGAGACAGGGGCCCCTGTCTAAGGTTTTTCCTCGGCCGCAGAGCTCATTTATCAGACGGCACACATTCAGATCCTGCTGGACGACTTGCATTGGATTTGGCTACGGTTGCAATTACAAAAAAAGAGACAGCAAAAAAAGTTGCTAAAGATGCTAAATGTATTGCTTTCATCTCATTTATCATTACAGTAAAATAAATGAGCCTGTCCTTATTGCGGAGTGATCTATTACCCTGATAATAAATGCAGGATCAAAGCTGTAGAATTACACACTAATCTCTTGCTGACTAATTGTGCACTGAATCATAAACTGCACGTGTCTTCACATTCACAGTGTACCAAGGCATTGCGACGATAAATCCTGCTCTAACAACCTCTCCATTTTGTTTCCCTTTCATTCAAGAGTGAATATTTTCCTGCAGGGATCGGAGCCAGCGGCAGCAGCAGCAGGCAGAACAGAGTAAGTCCTCTAAGATGTTTAAGATCACACGTGGAAGAGAAACGGCCTCGTGTCAGCGGTGTGTCACCCATACATAAACACCACCTGTCTTTAATGTCTCTGTTTTGTTCTCTCATCTCACCCAGCCGAGCAAAAGCAGCCGGTGCCAGCAGCTCTTAAACCCAAACATCCTCAACGGACGGGTCACCTCGGTGTTCAGAAAACACTGTCGTATGGCTGAAGCTGGAAAATCAGAGGGTTGTTAAGCTAGTGTGTGTGTGTGCGTGTGTGTGTGTGTGTGTGTCTGTGTTTGTCAATTACACATCAGGGTTGAATATGAAATCCCACCTCACAATAGTTAACAGGCAGATGTCATTCTTTTGGCTGCAGCAGCGTCTTCTGTCCCTTACATCTGCAGTTCAGAGAACTATAGAGTCAAGTGTGAGGCTTGGCGGTGCCTACAGGATAGCATCAGTGTTCACGGTAGGTTAGGAAATGCAATTTACACCAGACAGTGCACCATGCAAATCCATTTGTAGAGACTATAGTGTCATAGTTGTGTGCATGAGAAGAAGCGAAGCAATAATATTCACCCTTTACTGGTTCCACAGTCTCACCACTTCAGATTTAACTTGTGCGTCAGCAGTCTACAATAAAAGCACAAGGTGACGCCATAAAAACCTTGTGCCATAAAAGACCAACTTTTGCATTTAAGCAAATCCAAACCTCAACACTAATGCTCTAAAACTGAAGAATATAATGACAAATAGATATTTTAAGAGTTTAACTGAAACCAAGTAGGAAGAAATTAAATATATAATGAAGTAATCAGTGCAATGTGAGGGCATGTGTTTTTAGCCATGTTCTGCAAGGGTGTGTGTTTTTATTGGATCAAATTAGGGTCACAATTTTTTTTGTGCTTGCGCAATGAAACAAGTTTTATGGTTGTAGAAACATTGAGTATGTTTAAGTCACACTTTTTTTCACAATGTCTGAGGGATGGGCGCACAAATTACCAAACTATGCATGCGACCCTGAAGTTATCTTAACCCTGTTTTACTCTTAAGCTGAATCACCAATCCGCAGGATTCCCAGTGACCTTCTGTGCTACCATTGAATTCAGTAACCCACCTGTGTCTCAGAGGAGTCCACCTCATATTGAATCAGAGACAAAAGGAGAACGTTCGAGCACACTTTGTCCTGATAGGACAGTGTGAATTTGTCTGAGTGGAGGTTGCATGCAAAGATAGGACATTTGTGTGTCTGTCTCAGGCTTTGAGAAAACTATCCCTGCGTGAATATCACAGTGTGAATTACACAGATGCACAAAAAACTTCTACACACACAAAATATGATGAACAGCTTCGTTATTTCACAAGCAAAAAATATAAGTGACCCTCATTTGATCCCATGTGTTCTCAGTCGGTTTCTGTCAGGTGCATAAACTGGGAATAATCTCTTCAGCTTCTCCTGGATCAGATGAAAACAAAAGATGGGGTCTTTGTAAAGCACAATATCATCTATATACGTATGTGTGCATTTGTACATCAGTGCATGTCCCCACATAGAGAACTTATCAATGAGTCTCCTGTTATGGTGTATTAATGAGGAATTGCAGAGAAATTATGGATCACTGTCTAGTCATTCAATAAAAATGGACTTAAGTCTGAACTATGTTTAAATGAGTGACTCTGTTTCCACCTTGTGATGTCATGAAGCTTATTTCTATAGCAACATTCACATACAGCGCAATTCAAAGAGTTTATTTCCTTCCAAGACTTTATTTGAACACATTTTTAAATCAAAATTCAATGACAGCAAACAGAAAAGTATAGAAATACTATGATAAATCAAATGTGAAATGCTAATCCGACAAGACATTTAACAAATAGATAAATAATACGATTAATGAAACTGTCAAAACTCGTAAACGCCCACGATAAATTATGTTATACGTGGGAAGTGAACATAATCCAAACAAAGTCTAGAAAAATCAAGCTTAATTATGTTAAAAGTCTTTAAGGATGTTAAATGACGTGGAAGTTTCCGCAGCTCATTTGGTTTTGTGAATGAATTACAGTCGTAAAAATACAACTCATTATAAATAGCTGCACATGTCTCATTTGGTTCATATTCAGTGGAGGATAAATGTGTCTGTCCTCAGGGCAGGAGCAGATAAACAGCACAGAGTGAAATGAATCAAAAGGGAGAAGAGTCCAGAGGAGAAAGATGGGATCTTTTCTTTGAGCTTCACCGGAACGTGTAGCTCTCATCGTCGTACTCCAGCTCGTCGTCCTTGTCCTCTCCAAGTTGTCCGTAACGAAACTTCCTGTACACGGTGCCATCCTGCCCCATGTAAACAATGTCCTCATCATCATCTTCATCATCGTCGTCATCCTCCTTACCACGTGAGCGACGATCACTGATGTCAACTAGCTGAGACTCCTGGAAGCGGCCGCCGGAGGAGGAGCTGGCACGGCCGCTGTGAGAAGCAGAGCTGAAGCCTCGGTGCGCGCCTCCGTATCCCCCGCCGGAGCCCAGCTTCTCGTAGCCGCGGGGAGTGATGTCCGGGGGAGCTCTCTTGGAGCGGGAGTGTCTGATGAGGAAGACGACGGCCACCAGTGCCAGCACAAGCAGGACGCTGGCGATGATGAAGACGGTCAGGTTCCCTCTGGCCTGCTCCCCCTCCTCGTTCGTGAACGCCAAGTTGGTGCTGAGGACGCACTCGCCTAGAAGAAGATGCAGGAAGTTCAGACCCTAGTGCAGCTGCCTCTCTGCTCACAGCAAACTAACCACTGTTCACACTGTTACTGACTCTACTAGCCCCTGTGCACCATGGGTTTTGTTCTGGATTCTGATTTAAGTTTAGTATATTCTTATACATTACTGATTATTTGTTTAACCTCCATAGAAACACAATTTTATCTATGCACAAAATGTTTGCTTTCTTTTACTTTTACTCCACCTCAGTTCTACTTTATTACTTTTCTTGCCCTCTGTGTGTTAAGCTATTGGATGCCTACATTTCCTTTGGGGTCAATTAAGTATTGATGTATTAGTATAAGAGTATTAGTATTTTAACATATTACAGCATCACATGATTTAATCATGCCAGTGATTGCTGGAAACCGTGATTGGCCTTTTGTCGATTTAATGAACTTGTTATTAATTAACAAACTACACAGAGAGGTTTCATTTCCACGATGATCCCTGTGCAACTTGAAAGTCAGTGCTGACCTATAACATAGTTTATCAGCTCCAGAAAAATAGATCTGATTTCTCACACCCTGCCATGTGCCTTTCCATCCTCCTACAGACAAACCTGCAGCCTACCTCGAGTCTCAGTGCAGTTACAACAGTCCTGCTGCTGCGTTGCGGCCTCCTCTTCCACTTCCTCGTGGCGGCAACACAGCAGACAGCGCCCTCCAGCTTCTAAGATGGCCTGAGCAGGACACATGGTGCAGTTGGTTGGACCGGGGCCCCGGCACTGGAGACAGGACATGTCGCAGTCCTCACAAGCGTGGCCTAAAGCCTGATGAGGATCAGGAGGACAGACTGACAGTGAAAAACGCACCCAGACACACAGCCGCTGCAATTTGACATCACAGCTTCGGATTCTTTGCTTCCAAACACATGCAAACTTTTATCACTGAATATAAGTGATGCACTGCCTCTCATTTCAATCAATTAATATGTCAGACAGTTTCAGTGGGTTGCCTCACAGCAAGAAGCCCGGAGATTTATTTAGAAATAATTTCACAGTAATAATTTCCACTCTGCTGTTTGAGATTTCTCCTGCTGGAATAATAAGTCAGTCTGAATTACATTATGTGATACCTGGGGCCAAAACATTAGTAGTAATTATTTTGGTGAGGCAAGGACATGGGAAGGATTTTTTTTAAATAGAAAAGTTAATATTTGTGAAATTAAAAACCTAGAAAAGTGTCGTTACCTTTATAACAGGAAACTGGCCGATGTCGCACAAGGACTCGCACGTTCCATCTGAGAGCAGGTATCCAGCGTAGCATGAGTCACAGGAGAAGGAATCTTTTCCTGCTCACACGAGACAACTTCAAGGGTAAGTGGTAATATTCTGTATTATTCCCATGAAGATATCAAAATAAATGATTCTATACTGTGTGAGCCACAGAGCTCTTCTGAGGATATCTAAACAGATCAGTGTGCCCCACAAAAAGTTTTATCCACACATATTTACTGCATTATTTTACTATTTAACTTGTT